CTGCCATCAGCCTACTTTTAATAAATCCTTGAAAGACGGAAACATCGACAGTCCTGTCAACGGCCAGTGGGTGTTACAGTTGCTGTGCTGCGGTTCAAACTACTTCTAGTGCCCCTTTTTCACAAAAAGTGAATTACGAACGGGTTTCGATTTTGAACTGGTTTGCTTTTCGCACCTAAAATACGCATGAACTGGACGAGAAGTTGAAAAGTAAACTCACAACCCTTCACTTAATTTTATTCTTTGTAAGAAAAGAAAATATTTGGAAATAACTCGAAATGTCTGGACCCTGCCAATGGTACGGCTAGCAAAGTTTTCTTTGTCATCCATGGTTATACCCTAAGGTGAAGGCGTCATTCAGTACTACCTTGAAATTGTAATAAAGTACGAGTAAGGATATGAATCTGAACACCCAAGCAGCAAAAGCAAGATTATGTTATTCGAGGTGAAATTTTTTATGCGTTTTTATGCGTTTTTTGCAGCTATGCAATCCAGAAAACGCATATTGACGAGAGGTTGTCTGTGTGTCTATGTGTTCGTCTGTACCGATTTTTCATCTCGTGACCGACAAAAGCTACAGGGCTGAAACTTCGGGGACATAATTTACATGCATGTACGGGCCCCATCCTCAAAATGGCGGTCCCACCCGCGTGGTACCCGCGTAAGAGCCCGCCAAAATTTTTTTATGGTGAGTTGATAACTCGCGAACCAGGAAAGCTAGGAAGCTGAAATTTTAAGGGAATGTTCCCCTTCCAAGTATATACTAATGAGCTCAAACCCAACCTCCGGGTAAGCGTGGCACTCGCGTACGGGCCCCCCAAAGTTTCTCCCGCGTAAATTCATAACTCGGAGATCTGAGATGCTAGAAAGCTGAAATTTTATGAGTATGTTTCCCGTCCAAGTAGGTACTAATGATCTCAAACCCAACTCTCGAGTAAGCGTGGTACCCGCGTATGGGCCCGCCAAAATTTTCTCGCGTAAATTCATAACTCGGGGATCT